TGACCAACATTAAACCCAACATCCAAAAGAGCTTCAAGTTGCTCTTTGGATATTTCATAGGAAGGACGTCCAGCTGTTCCAGTGAATACCTTAGGGTTCGTGAGCATGTTTTGGCATTTTTTTCCAGGATTCTTTTGGCGGTCAGTAAATCACGAAAGAAGGCTTCAGGTATTCTTACATTAGAATCCAAAACATGTAATGCTTCGAATATAAGCTCCAATTCCTCAAGAATTTCATTCACTTGTAAACTGTTATTTTGCAAAGAAGAATGGATATATTCAAGCTTGATTACAGTTAATCTTTTTAATTCATCCGCACTAACAGTCTCTGAATTCAGCGCCATTTTGAGTTTATAGTCTCAGTCCTCGGGCGCCGGGGATAAATCCCCGGTGGTAGGTGTTCTTTCTGAATAAAAAAGTTTCCATTTTGAAAATTCGACGTTGCAATTTCGAATCCTAAACTACGACATCAATTATTTTCAAAAATAAAGTTACCAACTTGCAAATTCCACCAAATAAACCATAAATTGAGAGCATCATTTTAAAAATTTTATCCACCATTTTCAAAAATAATGTCTCCATTTTCAAAAATAATGGCTGCATTTTCAGAAATAATGCGTCCATTTTCAAAAATAATGCTTCCAATTTCAAAAATAATGCCTCCATTTTAAAAAACATTGCCTCCATTTTAAAAAATAAGCACTCTGAATTTTGGCGGTAACGGCACCTCATACACCATTGCCACTATTGTCATTAACCTTTTCTTCAGTATAATAATGCAAACATTTGTCATACCTTCCTACGGCACACACCATCTCCAAAACATTGAAATACAGACCAGTATCAAGATGGGTCATTAAATTTTGAATACCAACAAACAAGGACAACGCTGCAAAAACTTCAACCATCGCGTCGTTCGTCATACCGCACGGTCCGCAACCCACATGAAAAAATGTTTTATCAACAAGATAGTTAGGTTCTAAATTAAGCGACTGACAGCGAACCATTTTTGTTACAGAACGTAATAAAATTTCCCGACAACAAAATTCAAAGGGTAATAAAATGAACATATTATCACGAGCTGCAATCCTTGGTACCCATTCAACAGGAATATTATACATGGTTTTTTTTGTCGTAAGATTTTCATCGTCAAAATGCCCCAAACTAACAACCACCATTCAGGGTCGTTTTACTGTTTCATTATCGATCGCGATAATGTCTCGAATATCATCAAACCCTTCCTTTAGCCAATGATTTGTGCAAGTAGAATAATCGAGAATTCGAATTTCACGATTAAATTTTGGTTTATAACCACGCAAAAATCGGCAAACAGAGTATAGTTCCCACAAAATTGAATTGAAAGGTTGTTTTATTAAAAGGAACGACAAAGCTGTAAGTTTCACTGTTTCATCCATTTTACATTTCCTTGTTTCAGCTATATTACAACTTCCCTTTTAAACCCTTCGCACAAATTCGGTAAATAATTTTACCTCGTGTCTTGAACAATGGTAATAATCACCCAAATGATAAGGGCAACATTCCTGCACATAACCATATTTGGTCAATAGCTCGACATACTTAGGACATGATAACACTTCAAGATTAATACATCGAACACCCGTATTATTTAACAAATTACGCTCAATATCTCCACCCTTATAAGCAACCAAATCTGTGTTACTCACAAATTCCTTTGTCAAAAAATCCATAGACTCTTTCTTCCAATGTGAAAAAATCATTTGTCAATCTCTTATTAACGATAGGTAAACCATGCACGTTCCGAATTTGATAACGAATAGTGTAGTAAGTTCTTTGAATGTTTGCATGGCGATAAAATATAATTGTTTTTGTTTGTGGAAACACCACGTAAATTTATTACTGCAAAGCTTTCGATCCGTAAGCCCGGATCTTCATCAGTGCTAATAATATGTG